TCAGATAGTACCAAAATCATGGCAGAGGTCAGCTAATTATTTTTTCTTGTGTTTTGGAAACGGATGCCAAAAGTTAAGCCTGCTTTTTACCTTGAGAGTGGTATGGTACTCTTTGAACACATTCCAAAACAAACTAGAACATATATAGAGTAGAAAAAAAGCCCACTAGCAATCTTGATTTTCTCTTTCCTGTGCAAGCCTCTGTCTTCACTTAGCAAGTTGTAATAATATATTTGTGTATCCCTTATCCCTACCTGACTGCAAACCCTTTGAAAACAAGACTCGGGTCTCATGTGCTTTAGATTTCCTGTCTGTCTTAGACTTACTTTTTTTTTTTTTTTTCCCATTTTTGATTAACTTTATACACAGAAGACCAACTATATGCTAAGTAAAGAGTTCAACAATTTGCACAGAAAAAAAAAAAAAAACTAAACTGTCCCTCAACAGTGAGACAAGGGCTGTTCAAAGTCCTTGCATCTTGAAGTTAATTTCACTTCTTTTTTTTTTTTTTTTTTTTAGAAACCTAACTTTAAAGAAGCACCCAAGAATGATACATCTTTTGGGAGCACTTAAACATAACTATAATACAACTCTTTGAGGACGGAGGTCCTGCATGGGAAGTTAGTACACAGGGACTCTTGTTGTTAATTTAGCAATTAACACTCTTATGTATGATCACCTGAGGCTCTTGTCATGAGCTTCCTAGGTTATGGAAGCCTTTTGAATCCACAAACTCCATCAGTTTTTAGATAAGTCCATAAGCTAAGTAGACGTTCTCTCCTCCCTTCAGAGAAAAGTACCTCCTTTGATGACCACTTCTTTCCATTTGAGGTCTTATCCACTGAGGTCCTTCATGTAGGACATTTGTTGTTGTTGTTGTTGTTGTTGCAGTGTCTCAGCTTTCCATGCCTGAAATGCTCCTGTGGCTTTTCAGCCAGACCAGAATGCATTAAGGGCTGATTATGAAGTCAGAGTGCTATTTAAAGCAATTGTCATCCTAGGAGTCTGCTGTGTGGACTGCTTCCCATGTTGGAGCATTCCTTCCTTTTTAATGTATGTTAGACTTGAAACATAGAGGATTTCCAAATGTTTGGTCAAAAGGATAAAATTAAGGCAAAGCTGACCGCTAAAATTTAATTATAAAAATAATTATTGGGGCTGGTGCTGTGGCTCAGTGGGTAAAGCTGCTGCCTGCAGTGCCAGCATCCCATATGGATGCTGAATCGAGTCCCAGCTGCTCCATTTCTGATCCAGCTCTCAACTATGGCCTGAGAAAGCAGTGGAAGTTGGTCCAAGTCCATGGACCCCTGCACCCACATGGGAGAACCAGAAGAAGCTCCTGGCTTCTGGCTTTGGATTGCCCCAGCTCCATCCATTGCAGCCAATTGGGTAGTGAACCAATGGATGGAAGATCTCTCTCTCTCTCTGTCTCTCTCTCTCTCTTTCTCTCTGCCTCTCCTCTCTGTAACTGACTTTTAAATAAATCTTTAAAAAATAATTATCATTTCCATGAGTATTTTAGTATCAGCAGTGCTTCATGCATTCTGTAATCCTGCACAGTGGGAATTTATATGGTATGTTGTCTTTAAAATTCAATATATTTTTGAAAGATTTATTTTATTTACTTGAAAGTCAGAATTACATAGAGAGAGAAGGAAAGGTGCAGAGAGAGAGAGAGGTCTTCCATCCACTGGTTCACTCCCCAGCTGGCTGTAACAGCCGGAGCTGTGCCAATCTGAAGCCAGGAGCCAGGAGCTCCTTCCTGGTCTCCCACGTGGGTGCAGGGGCCCAAGGACTTGGGCCATCTTCCACTGCTTCCCCAGGCCATAGCAGAGAGCTGGACAGGAAGAGGAGTAGCTGGTACTCAAACTGACTCCCACTTGGGATGCTGGCACTGCAGGCGATGGCTTTACCTGCTACGCCACAGTGCCAGCCCCACAATAGTGTTTTATTTATTTGAAAGAGTTACACAGAAAGAGAGGCAGAGAGAGATAGAGGTCTTCCATCGCTGGTTCACTTCCCAATTGGCCGCAATGGCTGGAGCTGCGTTGTTCTGAAGCCAGGAGCCAGGAGCTTCCTCTAGGTCTCCCACATGGGTGCAGGGGCCTAAGGACTTGGGCCGTCTTCTTCTGCTTTCCCAGGATATAGCAGAGAGCTAGATCAAAAGTGGAGCAGCTGGGTCTCAAACCAGCATCCATATGGGATGCCTGCGCTTCAGGCCAAGGTGTTAACCCGTTGTGCCACAGCACTGGCCCGGCATCTGCTTTTCTTAAAAATGCTGCTCTGGTGTTAAGAAGTTAGATTGCCCACCTAATTTTTTATCTTTAAAGTCTGTTAGTTTTACTTAGATATATTTTGGAGTTAATCACACTGTGGGGGGCCAGCGCTGTGGCGTAGTGGGTTAATACCCTGGCCTGAAGCACCGGCATCCCATATAGGTGCCAGTTCATGTCCCGGCAGCTTCTCTTCCGATCCAGCTCTCTGCTATGGCCTGGGATAGCAGTGGAAGACGGCCCAAGTCCTTGGGCACCTGCATTCATGTGGGAGACCCAGAAGAAGCTCCTGGCTCCTGGCTTCATATCGGCGCAGCTCTGGCTGTTGCGTTCATTTGGGGAGTGAACCAGCGGATGGAAGACTCTCTCTCTCTCTTTCTCTCTCTGTCTCTACCTCTCTATGTAACTCTGTCTTTCAAATAAATAAAAAATAAATCTTTTTAAAAAATCACACTGAATTTATTTTTTTTCTGTTACTCATGGGCTTATGGGACTTTAAACTCATCTTTTTTTCTAGAAAGTTTTCTTAGTTTACAATTTTATTTTATTAAAAATTATTTATTTATTTGAAATTTAGAGAAAGAAGGAGAGTTGGAGGGTGGGGAGTTTGTATCTGCTGGTTCACTCCCTAATTGGCCCCAGTGGCCAGAGCTGTGCTGATCTGAAGTTAGGAACCAGGAGCCTCCTCCGGGTCTTCCCACATGGGTGCAGGGGCCCAAGCACTTGGGCCATCTTCTACTGCTTTCCCAGGCCATAGCAGAGAGCTGGATCGGAAGTGGAGCAGATGGGACTCAAACTGGCACCCATGTGGGTGCTAGCACTGCAGGCAACAGCTTTACCACAGCACCAGCCCAACCCTTCTTCTTTACTTCTCATTTTCATTCTCTTGATGCTTATCCTGCTGTGCTTCAATGTTTATTAACCTTTCATTTAAGTCTATATCTTGGACACCTTGTAATTTAGAATCCATTTCTGGCGTGGTGTTTTTTTTTTTTTTTTTTTTCATTTTATTCTATTTTTTCCCCCTTGAGTTCAATCAAGTCTTTGTTTTTTTTTTTTTTTCTTTTTCCATTTCTGTTCTTAATTTTTGCTGAATAAAGGTGTTTTACTCCCATTAAATGTTTTAATATCCCCAAATGCAGGATTGAGGCTATGTAATTTAATTTGACATATTGTGGTACAGATTTTTTCAGTGTTGTTTGTGTTTTGACTAGTGTTTGCCTAATTTTTTTTTTTTTTTGGCTGTTGACATTGTTACAGTATTTATGTGGATATGCTCTGTTTTTTTTTTTTTTTTTTTTTCTATTCTTGTTCATTTCCTGGAGATGAGTCACAAGTACTATCTTCTGTCAGTTCTACCCCCTTCTGTCTTAAGTTCTTATGTAGATGATGGTGGTAGTGCTGACTGGAGGAGAGGATTTGGCATGCCTTGTTTCTCTCACGTTCCTGTGGATCCTTAGTTTTCCCTGCTTATTTCCTTCTTCCATTTACTGCTCTATCTTTTGGGATTACCCTGTTTTTAATGTATTTGATTTTTCTCCAAAGGCAGTGCTTCTCTGAGGCTGCCACTTCTGGTCCTGCTCACTCCTATGAGCCCCACGTCCCAACTGTGTTTAGTTTTTGTACCTTAAATTTGGACTTTCTTATCTTGACTGTTAGTTTATCTGTATTTCACCTGTACCCTTCTGCCATTTTTCATGGAGTATCTTAAGTCCCTTCTCAGGCTGTATGAACCCACAGATCTGAAGTGAGTGCTAATGGCAACTTTGTTGGAATAAGTTATTTGAAGGTTCTGGTATTTATATTTAGTTTAATGTAGAAATCATGGGTCACATTATGTTTTCCTTAGCCATTATATGTTTTAGAGGAGGAAGTTTTGGGGGAGATTTGAAAAAAATCAGGTTGTTGCCATCATTCTCTACCTGAGTTAGTATATTTTAATTTTTTTTTCTTTCAGGATCACTGAAAGGGAAAAGGTTGTGAATTACTTTTAGGTGTGCTGGGATATCAGTGTAAATGAAAATAACTGTACTAGACACAATTCTTACCATATAAGTTATAATGATTTTTAAAAGTCTTTTAGTACAAAATTTTATTACTCAAGCATTCTAGGCATCGTTTATATTATTTTATGCACATTTCTCCATCTGTTCTTCTCCATTAGCTAAAAATTTAAACAACTGCTATTTTAAAAATTAGAGTTATAAGGGGTGGGCATTTGTTATAGTGGCTAAGACAGTGCTTAGGATGCCCAAATCACATATTAGAGTGCTTGGGTTTGAGTCCTGGCTCTGCTCCCTGTTCCAGGTACCTGTCAGTGTACACTCTGGGAGTAAGCAGGTACAGCTCAAGTAGGTGGGTTTCTGCCACCCATATGGGACACCTGGATTAAGTTCCTGGCTCCCGGCTTTGGCCTGGCCCATCCCTGGCTGCTTGGAGCATTTGAGGAGTGAACCTGTTTCTCTCGACCTTTCAAATAAACTATACTTTAAAAAATAAAATGGGTATGATATAAAATTTTTTATTATGATGAAATATTTAGGATTTGGTGGCTTTTTGTTTATTTTTGGGGCAATCAAAATGTTTTTGTTATTCAGTTTTTATTACATTGAAGGCAATTAAAGTTGAAGTATTAGTGAGTATTTGTTATTTGAGTCACCTTTATCTTTCTTGCTTGCTTTGTAATATGTTTTTGAACTCAAGACAAACTCCTTTTATATTTATCAGATGCATACTTCTACTGGAGGAGGATTTTGTGACTGTGGGGACACAGAGGCCTGGAAAACTGGTCCTTTTTGTTTAAATCATGAGCCTGGAAGAGGAGGTACTACAAAAGAGGTAAGAATGATGTTTTTAAAAAATGGGTAGGTAATTTAAACTTAATGAAATTAGATAATAATAAATGTTAGGTGTATGGGTTACACTGAATTCCATTTAGAATTTTAGTATTTTTGTTTTCATATTTACATATAAAGAATTTTTTCTTCTTCAAAGAAGTTAAAGATTTGATAATTTCTCTAAGGAGGGAATGAATTCCCGTTGAAGAATGAATCCAGAATCCTTTTTTAAGCCATCAACTTGATAAGCATAAAATAACAAGAGAAAATAATTGTTAATAAATATGAGCAGAATTTAATGAATTAGGAAACAGAATAGGTGAATAACCTACAGAATCACAGATACAGAGGAATGAAAAGGATTGTAAAAGGCTCTTTGAATGAATCCGCAAATATATTTGAAATGGATTGTTTTATAAGACAGTGTAAAGTGACAAAATTTATTCAAAAGCAGGAAATTTGGGCAATAACCATTGAAGAAATTTTAAAAGTTGTCAAGAAAAAGTACTTCCTTCAAAATATAATGTTCAAAATATAATGTTCAAATAGTTTCATAGATAAATCCTTTCAAAACTCAAAACATAGGTAGTTTTTATGCTCTTTCACCTGTTCCAGATTCCTCTATAGTAGTGAATACCTCTAGGTCCCAGGAACTGAGCTCTCTCATTTATTTGAAAGGCAGAGTTATCGAGAGGCAGAGGCAGAGAGAGAGAGATGGAGAGGTCTTCCATCTGCTGGTTCACTCCCCAAATGGCCACAATGGCTGGAGCTGGGCCAATCTGAAGCCAGGAGACAGGAGCTGCTTCTGGGTCTCCCGTACGGGTGCAGGGGCTCAAGGACTTGGGACATCTTCTACTGCTTTCCCAGGCTATAGCAGAGGGCTGGATCAAAAGTGGAGCAGCCTGGACTTGAACCAATGCCTATATGGGATTCTGGCACTGCAGGTGACAACTTTACTCACTACGCCACAGTGCCGACCCCAGAATTGATCTCTTGAGTACCATTTCCCCTAAAAGAAATCAGGCTTTTTGTTAAAATACCTGATTCCGGGTCTGTATTTTGGGAATGTGTTAATGTAAATTTGTTCAATTAAGTTTATATCAGAGAACTAGGACCCAACTTGTAAAGGCTCCTGTTGACATTATTTGGATAATTGGAGCATTCTTACTGTATGATTAAATCATACTGAATATATAAAAATTCATGAGTTTCTAATGAAACTTAAATGAGAGCTAAGTAAAACAGAACTTCTTTGTCACCATGGCAGTAGTTATTATATCAATTTCTTGGTAATTAAAGGGAATGAAATAAACATTTATTCTACCTTTTTGGAAGGAATTTTGTTTCATGGCAACTAGGTATTTCTGTTTTATCAGGAAAAGTTCTGTCTGGAGAAATGCTATTTAACAGAGAAGGAATGATAGTTTGCAGATTCTAAGGAAATATCTGATTCAGACATGGATTGTTAATGAATGCTAAAAGCATTCAGACTTAGATTGTTAAGGAGCACTATTCATATGGTTCTAAGTTATTTGCTAGTTTTAAGGGGGAAAATGGAGCTTTACAATGAAGGTATTCTGCTGTCAGCTCAAACTAATTGTCAATATTAACATCATTAATAATGGAGTGATGTAGCATAGTAAGATCCTCATTTGATATAAATTGAATTACAGATTTGACTATCTCTTATCCAAAATGTTTCAGGTTTTGAGATTTTTCAGATTTTTAGGTTGTTTTTATAGACTTTACAGATTGAGCATCCCTTCTGTGCATCAAAGATTTCAGTGTCTCGGGTTTTGAATTTTTAGATTAGGGATGTTCAACTTGTTGATTTAACTTTTAAAAACTAATCAGTGTAATATGCCATGTAAATAGAATAAAAAACAAAACCACATGGGGATCATAATAGAGGGCACAAAGACATTTGGCAGAATCCAGTATCCTTTCATGATAAAAATATTCAGTAGACTAAGAATAGCAGATTTCTCAACCTGATAAAAGGTATCTGTATTCATCAGTTTAAATTTTTTTTTTTTTTTCGTCACAACTGAATACCTAAGATACACTATTACAAAGTAGGGAGGTTAAATTTGGCTCATGGTTTTGGAGTTTCACAGTCCAAGGTCCAGTGGGCCCTATTGTTTTGATGATCTGGTGAGACTAGAAGATGGCAGTGAGGGAGTATGTGCAAAGGAATGATCACACAGCAAGCTAAGAAGTATAGAAACAGGGAACATCCTTGCATCTACATGTTCTTTCACCTCAGAAAGCCACCATGATTTTCTCATGGGATGGGCTCCATCATAACAACCTAATCCAATCTAATTATTCTCTAAAGCTCTGTCTTCAGACACCATAACTAGGTTAACTTCATCCTTAATCCATTAGTCATTAACATAAAACTTTGAGGACTAACACATGGGCCTTTGGTGAACTCTCAAACAAATATCCCAATCTTAACAGCATCTGTGAAGAACTCACAGCTAATATACTTACTGGTGACATACTGGGTGTTTTCCTCCCAAGGTCAGAAGACAATGATGTCTGTTTTTCCCATATACATTCAACATTTCACTAGAGGTTCTACCATTCCTTTTAGGTAAGAAAAAGTGGTAGAAGATATCCACGTTTTAAAAAAAAAAAAAAAAGCAGCAGCAGGAACTGGCAGTGTGGTGTAGCAGGATAAGCCTCTACCCGCAATGCCACCATCCCATATAGGCACCAGTCCAAGACCTGGCTGCTCCCATTTCTGATCCAGCTAATATGCCTGGGAAAGCAGCTGAAGATGGTCCAAGTGCTTAGGTCTCTGCACCCATTAGGGAGACTAGAAAGAGGCTCTGGACTCTTAGCTTCAGCTCCGGCCATTGTGGACATTTAACTTGCAGATGCAAGATTGATCTGTCTCAGGGCTGGCACTGTGGCGTAGCAGGTAAAGTCACTGCCTGCAGTACCAGCATCCCATACAGGTGCCAGTTCAAGTCCCAGCTGCTCCACTTATGATCCAGCTCTCTGTTATGGCCTGGGAAAGCAGTAAAAGATGGTCCAAGTCCTTGGGCCCCTGCACCCACGTGGGAGGCCTGGAAGACTCCTGGCTCCTGGCTTTAGATTGGTTTAGCTCCAGCTATTGTGGCCATTTCGGGAGTGAACCAGCGGATGGAAGACTTCTTTCTCTCTCTCTCTGCCTCTGCCACTCTGTAACTCTGACTTTAAAATAAATAAATAAAATTTAAAAAAAGATTGTCTCTTTCCATCTCTCTCTGTAACTTTGCCTTTTGAAAAACACTACCTCTTTTTTTTTTTTTTTAAGATTTATTTATTTATGTGTAAGAATCACAGAGAGAGAGAGAGAGAGAGAGAAACATTCCATATGCTGGTTCACTCCCCAAATGGCCACTATGGCCATGGCTGGGCCAGACAGAGCCAGGAGCTTCATCTGGGTCTCCGACATGGGTATAGGGGCCCAAGCATTTGAGCCATCCTCTTCTGCTTTCGCAGATGCATTAGCAGGGAGCCAGATCAGAAGTAGAGCAGCTGGGTCACAAACCAGTGGCCCACAAGGCAGTGTTTTTACATGCTATGCCACAACGCCAGCCCCAGAACTAACTCTCTTTGCAGATGTATATGGAAAAAACTGAAGAATCCTTAAAAAATTACTGGGACTAATAAACTAGTTTGGCAAGATTAAAGGATACAAGAGAATTATATGGAACCAACTTGCAGTTCTCTATATTAGCAAATATACTAAATAATTTCATTTAGTATCAAAGACAATAAAATATTTAGGAATAAATTTAACAAAAGTATAAACCTCTTACTCTGAAAACTGTAAAAACACCGTTGAAAAAAATTAAAGAAAATCTAAATAAATGGAAAAGCATCCCATGTTTCTAGATCAAAAGCTTTAATATTAAAATGGCAGTACTCCCCAAAGGGACATATAAATTCAGTTCAATTCCTGGTAGAATCCCAGGTGGGAATAGCAAAATGACTGAAATTTATGCATAATTACAAAGGATCAAAATAGCTACAACAATCTTGAAAAAAGAACAGAGTTAGAAAACTCACACGTCCCTGTTTTTAAACTTACTACAAAGCGATAGTAATCAAGATAGGGTAGTACTAGTATAATAATTGACTTATGTTGATGGAATAGAATTAAGAGTCCAAAAATAAACCAACTTTCTATAGTTAACTGATTTTCAACAAGATTACCAAGACCATTCAATGGCGGCAAAAATAGTCTTTTCACCAAATGGTACTAGGATAATTGGCTACCCATATGCAAAAAAAAAAAAAAAAAAAAACAAAACAATGAAGTTGGAGCCCCTTAGCCTATACCTATGTGTAATTTTTAGTACATAAAAATAAGTACATCAAAGACCTGAGTGTAAGAGCTAAAACTACGTATTTCTTAGAAGTAAACATGGGGTAAATCTTCATGATCTCAGATTAGGCAAAAAATTCAATGATACAACACCAAAAGTATGAGTTAAAAAAAGAAAAAAATAGATAATTTAGGCTTTATCAAATTAATAACTTTTATTCTCCAAAGGGTACTGTCAAGAATGTGACAAGGCAGCTCACAGAATGGGAAAAATGTATTTGCACATCACATAGCTGATGGGAGACTTATATGTAGAATTTACAGAGAGCTCTTAAAACTCAGTAATAGGGGCCAGCACTTTGGTATAGCAGGTAAAGCCACTGCCTGCAGTGCCATATGTGCACCAGTTCAAGTCCCATCTGTTCTACTTCTGATCCAATTCCCTGTTAATGGCCTGGGCAAACAGTGGAAGATGGCCTAGGTCCTTAGGCCCCTGCACCTATATGGGGGGACCTGGAAGAATATCCTGACTCTTGGCTTCGGATCGGCCTATCTCTGGCTGTTGTAGCCATTTGGGGAGTGAACCAGCAGATGGAAGACCTACCCCTCTCTCTCTGCTTCTGCCTCTCTGTAACTCTGCATTTCAGATAAATAAATAAATATATGTTGTTAAAAAG